GATCTAACTAGGCCTACCCTTGCATCGCAGTAATACTGAACTAGGCCTAGCTTAGGCCTCATGTTTTTGTGGAAAGCTAGATAGTCGTTATGTACCCGACAGTCGGCTGCCTTTATATTTCACCTGTTTTCAGTTTGCATTCAAAGGATACATTGCTGCACAACCAACTGTCGGGGATATAGTACCTTCATATGACTACTCATACGTATACAACAGAAAAAACGTCGCATGGACTAAGTAAAAAATGGAGATCTAAATGAAGAAACGATGTATTTCAGCAAGTATTAAAACATTTTAGTTTTATTTTAGGCCTTCTTCAAAATACCTATGCCTACAGCAGATGATTTTTTTGCCGTAAAACCAAAATAGTTTCATCCATGCCGACATTCCGGTCGGTTAGCGTGAGCCCTGACTGAACTCTGCAGAAACTTCACATCGATCTTCGCATCGCGATGTAAAACAAAATGTCGGAAAACTTTTCTTTGACGCATGCGCATTTGCATAAATGTCTACACACACACATACACACAATAAAAAACATAGGAAATAGCAAGAGTGATTACAATAGTTCCTATTGCATTACATGCATAGGAACTAAAAAAGAAAAATTTTAATCTAAATCATTCTAAAAAATGTTGTGACGCTGGTGCCAGCATTTTATTGGATAATAAATTTACAGTACCTTCCGCAAAAGGAAGTTAAGATATGGTATCGTATCTCTATCCACTGCGTAATACCTATACTATTTGTAAATAAGTGAACATAATATTCATTCATAATCTTCCTGATTTTCAAATTTTTACTGGTCGAACTCGGTTAAATGTACAGCATTCCTGTACATAAATACTATAATATTAATATAAATTAAATAAAATTTTAGGCCTAATATTCGCCGCCAATTGGTTTTTGTAAGCTGAAAAGTCAGCCACCTACCCACAATCACAGTGCACTGTACACTAAATTATGGCATCACTCGTGTTTCGCCAATGCATAGTGTTGTCAAGAAGGTCACAAGCACTCCACAGGCCTACAATCCCTATGCCAGATTTCCGCTTAAAAATATTCTTTTTTTAAAAATTATATAGAATCAACCACTAGTACTAACTAGCTAAAATTTAATCAAATAAACTTTATTTTAATATTTAAATGTTGGAGAATTAACTTGCATCACTATTATTTGGGTCCAAACAAGATGATTTTCATTTTTAACATAGGCCTAGGACTAGTCATAGGAGCCTAGGCCTAGGGTCTAACTCCTAGCTAGGTAGGGTCTAGTCCTAGGAAGGAGCCTAGGCCTACCGGTTTCTGGGCAGAACGGCAAAAAACCAAAACGGCAATAAGTAAAACGGCAATGACCAAAATGGCAAAAAACCAAAACGGCAACACTTTTTAACCAGAACGGCAATAAGTCAAAACGGGCAATAAGTCAAAACGGCAATAAGTCAAAACGGCAAGACCAAAACGGCAATATGCCTAAGTCAAAACGACAATAAACCACAATATAAAAGCAGTAAACATTTAAATAATTAAAAGTTTAAAATACAGAAAAAATTGAGGCTAAACAATTTATGTCAAAAGTAAAAAAGCGCGAAAGAAAAAAAAAACAAATTCAATAGCTAAACAATTTATGTCATAAAGTAAAAATGTGCAAAAGAAAAAAAAAAAAATAATAAATAACACTTTAAAGAACAACAACATTAATAATAATAATAATAACAATAATAATAATAATAATAATAATAATAATAATAACATACAATACAATTTAATAGTAAAATGATTAGGGGAACATATGTAATATATAAAAGCAGTTAACATTTAAATAATTAAAACCTTAAAATACAGATAAAATGAGGCTAAACAATGTAATGCCACGAAAGTAAAAAACAGGAAAGAAAAAATAATAATAATAATAATAAATAACACTTTAAAATAATATAGGCCTAGTCATGGATGTGTAAAAAAAAACAAAAAACATAAAACAAAACACGATTCAGAAAATGATAATCAGCTGCCCGCGATTGGTGGCGCTTCATTCTTGGCATTGATTTTTGCTCCTTTGCCGTTTTGGTAGTTGTCATTTTGACCTGCTCCCGGCCTACCTCCTAGCTAGGTAGGCCGGCCTAGGCCCCCTACCTCTCTCTCTAGTCTAGTGCCTTCTACTACTCTAGGCCTAGCCTACTATCTAATAATAACACTAAAACTAGGCCTAAACTAAAAGTAGTAGTCTAGTTACTAGACTCTAGTAAATAGAAGCCTTGTTGTTGGCAGTAGTATAGGTAATAATACCTACTGCCAGGGCCATATTTTGTTCACACCCTATCTAGGCCTATTTACTGTAGCAGGCCAAGCCAAGGCTAAGCTGAATAAAGCTTCTTTGTCATCATGCGCCAGGCATCGCTTCACCCCTCCTTCTTCACAATGTCAATATGAATTGTCAAACTTAGCCTAGGCTAGGCCTAGCCTATGCCACTTAAATTACGAATAATATACATATGTATAATTATATGAGTCGATTTTCTAATAAAAAGGTTTTAAATTTATATACCCTTTCTGCTTTTCATCAATTACAGCTAGCGTTAAACGTAAACGTAGACAAGACCAGCCAAGCCTACCTTAAATTGAAATTCCGTTGTTTTCTTTTTCATTTATCTAACAGGAGGTGCTAAGAATTGTGGGATGGACACTGACAAAAATGACTTTCGACCTCTTATTACCATAGCAGCATTGTTTGTTTTATATTTTTGTCACACGCACACGCCACCAGCTGCTGTTCTGTTGACAAAACAGAAGAGGCGAGTCATTCAAACGAGAAGCAGTGTGTGTTTTGTATCTCCTATTTTAGCGTTATCTTTTTAAAATAACATAAAATGGCAGCACCAAGGGAAAAAGAACCTGTAAATATTGTCCACCAGAATGCAATTTTATGTGAGACAATACAGAAGGAACAACGAACACAAAAGTTATATACCAGTTATAGCATTAATCCTTTCAAAAAAAGTAAGTTAACTTTAACTTTTTTTTTTTTTATTGAACTCGAAGACAACAGAGTAGTTGTAGGCCTAGGCCGCCCTAGATAAACATGCTAGGCCTACTGCTTTATGACTGCGTATGTATGTAGACCAAGTAGTTTGTAGTCCACCACTGGATGAATGCCTGGTCTACCAGCTACTATTTCAATCCATCAATACCACTTACCTGGATATACATAAGTACAGTATCATCGTATTGCAACATAGTCAAGAAAGATGAAGATGCTGTGAAAAAAGTTCAGCAAAGGGCCACAAACAAGAGGCTCATTCCTCAAATTCGTCATCTTCAGTATAGTGAGAGAAGAAGACATCCGAATCTACCAACCTTAACATATAGAAGGGAAAGAGCAGAAATGCTGCAAATATTCAAAATTATCCGAGGTTTTGATAAGGCTCAGGTTAGCGATTTTTTTAAAAGAGAAATGAAGCTACATCCACTAGAGGTCACCAATGAAAAATTCACTTGAGTCAAGTTAGCCAACAATAAGCCAGCCAACAACAAGCCAGCCCACAATTCTAGCCAACAATCCAGATAAGATACGAAGATGTGTATAAGAGACAGAGTCATAGGAGCCTAGGCCTAGGGTCTAACTCCTAGCTAGGTAGGGTCTAGTCCTAGGAAGGAGCCTAGGCCTACCTGTTTCTGGGCAGAACGGCAAAAAACCAAAACGGCAATAAGTAAAACGGCAATGACCAAAATGGCAAAAAACCAAAACGGCAACACTTTTTAACCAGAACGGCAATAAGTCAAAACGGGCAATAAGTCAAAACGGCAATATGCCTGTCTCTTATACACATCTCGGCCGCACACACAGTGAAGTAAATAGTGAAATCTGCAGTCCAACGCGATCGTATCTTATCTTATTGTTGGCTGGAATTGTGGGCTGGCTTGTTGTTGGCTGGCAGATTGTTGGCTAGCTTGATGTAGCTGAAAAAACTCAGAAAGTCCATGTGAAATTTAAGTCTTGACAAAATGCATTTTCGTTTAGAAAGATCAATTCTTGGAATGTTTTACCAAACTCAATTATGGACTCTCTTACAATTAACCAATTCAAAAACCGTTAACAAAAACACTGGTCTAACCACCCGCTTAAGTTCGACCTGTATGCACCTAAAGAAATGTCAAGAGGGACACATAAAGATATGATACCTTCATGTCTCTATCAACACCATTGTCCCATGCTAAATACCAAAAAAAAATCATAAAAATATTTTTTGAAATTAACTTGCCCATTTTGAACATAAAAGTTATCAACTTGAACATAGAAATTAGTGTATTTAAAAAATGTCTACCCATCAGTTAACAGCGAAAAATGATAGAAACACTTCCAGTCACTGAAAGTGTTTTATTATTTTTATTATAATTTTTTGGTTTAAAAATCAGGGTACACATTTTTTAAATTCAATAATTTTTGTGCACAAGTTAATAATTTGTATGTTATTGCAATATGAGCAAGTTTATTTCAAAATTATTTTTATTATTTTTTGACATTAGCAAGGGACAACTTAAATTTTACTCTAAATCTACAGCACTTGTTTATTGTTTGTCAACTTATAAGATTCAACATTTTACTATTTATTTTGCAGTGTACACATTAACAGGTAAACCCAACTCTCTTCATGACTCGGCTGATGGAGAAGAAGATGGTGAGTTTTTGTTGTTATTTTTATTTATTGTTAAAGTTTCTGATTGTATTTGATTGCTTGATACAATATAACCATTGACAGGCCTAGGCCCTAGCCCTATTCTTTGGATTCCATTAATTTCTTTATGTTATGCTGCAGTTTCGTCCATCATACGCACAACCTGCTTGTTGTTGGTATTCAGGAACAGGGTGGCGGTATGGACTCTACAGAGTGACCGCCCTAGTTATGAAAATGTGGTTTCCCCTTTGATGTAGTATCAGTCATTGCAACATATAGTACAGTGGTACCTTTATCCTCAAACTGAAGCATATAAATTAAATTAATTTTTACTAATTCCTTATTTTAGATAACTTTCTACAAATTATCCACCGAGCATACCAGGAACCAGTCAACAAGTTTGAATCTCCACAGACAGAAGCCCAAGAAATTGGATGGAATTCTAAACCACTGGTAACTATTATTAACTAATATATTAGTGAGCAATGTACTGTACTTGTTGAAAAAAAAAAATTGTTGAACAATAAATCTATTCACTCTATGCAAGAATTTGATTTAGTTTCAAGTAATACCTAATTATCTTCCTTCAGCTTCCACAAAACAGAGAAGATCATCGTCTCCATTTTCCAAGACAGAATTCTGAAATAACCAAATACATGGATGCTGCCTGGCGCCAGAAGGAACAGCAGGAAAATTTACAATAAGATGGATTCCTTTGGGAATCGGAGCAATATTAGGTCTTGCTGAAAAAAACCATGGTAAATGTGGTTTTAGAAACAAACATTTAATGCGCAATTTTTATGTAAGTTCATGTTGTTTCTTTTAAGATGATTAAAGTAAACAATCTCTTTCGTGCGAGTAGTATTTCACCCTGATTATTATTGGAATTTGATGTCGAGATTGGCAACTGATATGAGTAAACTGCTGTAAAGCAATACGACTCTACAGGATTTATTTTAAGGTATGTTGCATCCTTCCTGGTGAATTGGAGGAAAATGGGTATTTTAATTGAATGAAAAATGTACATCTAGTCACTGGTGGCTGCAAACTCTTGCACTTGGAGTACCGTAAGGAATTGATTATGTGTATAAGTTGAATTGCTGCTTTTAACATGATTAAAGTAAACAGGTACCGGTACTTGCTTTATAATAATTGTTACTAATATTTGCTAATAAGTAAACTGTAAAGCTATGTAGCCATTTACTGTAAGCTTACAATCGTTATCTACGATGCATTATGATCAAACCGGAATGAACACAATATTATGCAGTACAGTAGTTAGATGTTGGGTAGGAATTAACATAAGCAGTGGCAACAAAAACCAGAACAAATACATACAAAAATGTTGTTTATGATGTCACAAAAGTAGCATCATTTTTATTGACTACTAATTATAAAAACAAGTAATTTTTGAGTGAACAATATTTTTCAATGTAGTTTACAGCAGTTATTTTTTATTACCATAATAAATGTTTATAATACACAATAAGATTGTGTTTTTGTATCTCATTGTGTGTTTCCACTAAGCCCCCACCCTTGGATATTGTAGCTAAGATCCTACAAAACAACAGTGTAAAAACATAAGCAATTGCATGCATTTGTGTGGCAACATGTGTTTGTGACACAAGCATATTCCTGGCCTTCTGATTGGCCAGGAGAAAGGTCCATTGGGTTTGCTAAACACAATATGTTTGGAGAGGAGGTACTTAGTACTGCAAGTACACATGTTAGCCATGGTACTTGTCTTACCTGGTACTTGGTACATGGTACTTTGTACTGCAACTACATGTTAGCCATGGTTACTACTGCATCAGTCAATGTAAGGCCAGCTATAATGTTCACATAATCAGGCACCAGATGACGGTGAATGTAGGCTCAACATTAATGACATCAGTTCGTAACACTGATGCTTAAAGCTCAATTCCAGGCAAAATTTCATTTTTTAACAAAAAAAAACCTGATTTGGTATGTAATGTTAAAACGACTTATAAGTATAATACGAAAAATTGCATGTTTAACTGAATTTAGATGTTCCTAATCATGAAAAAAATGCAAAATAAGACAATTTTGATTTTTTGTTTTCTACACAAAAAATAAACACGGATGAATTTTCTGTTTGATTTTGCGATAGGTCTAATCTATTAGTGTAGAAATATAGTAGGCGCTTGAACACTAGCCTAGCAACACTGTGCTAGGCCTAGCCTTACCTCGATTTTAGGTTCTGTTATCAGATATAAAAACGGTCAACATGATATTTTCTGTTGCTAGTACTGCATTGACACTTATGAAACAGAATATTTTATTTTTCAAACTTGTTTAAAATGATTCTAACTGAGATTTTTGAAAATTAAGCAAACACTGATCGACTGCAGTGTGCGAGGTACAAAAACTAATCTTATTAGGCACACTATATTTATCGCTGACGATCGTGTATTGGCGACATAACCAGTTCAGTAAATCCGATTAATTAATGCTTGTAATTAATTGTGGGATGAATTAAATATCTTTGGTGGCCGCAATAAAAAATAAAGAAGAATGTGGTAGGTTCGCAATACTCATACGCTTGACTGTAAGCCCCGGTATTCAACCCCCGCTCGCGGGCCAACTCTGGCCCGCCAAAATTTTCATCCGGCCCGCCCTAGAGGTGCCATAATCATAAATTTTCTTATCTCGGCCCCAACCTTGGTGGGGCTGAGGTGGTATTTTCCCCCAATCTGTGAAAGTTCTTCACTGGCCCCCTTCTATTTCGAATCCACCGGTATAAAAGAAAATGTTTGGGCTGATATATTATTTTTAAAAATGGAATTACACAATATCGGCCTGCCGCTGGTCTCAACAGATAGGAACTGGCCCCCAGCTTAAAGAGGTTGAATACCCGGGGTATAAAGTATACACAAACAGCAGCCGACGACCGACGAGAGCATGCCAGTGGATGCGATCTACAACCTCTGAATTTTCCTAGTAACGAAGACGTCAACGAGAAAATGGTAATCTCCTATATCTTCTTTTTCTCCTCTAGTGTAAAACTAAAATTTATGCCAATAAATGACCTGGTTTATAATAATTAGAGTAAACCATATGTGGCAAAAACAAGCCAAACCAGTCACTCGTCGGAAAAATCAATTTTTAGATATTAATACAGAGTCAAACAGTAAAATGAGAGCTATAAAATGGTGAAAGAATCATTTAAATCCGACACTTCGTTATGAAGTTACACGAGTTTAAACATACAGCTGTTTAAAGAACAATATTTGAGAAATAAGCCTTCAAAGTTTACGATTTCAGGCATTTCTTAGGCAGAAACCATCACCAAATCGTTAAAAATTGTTGTTTTAACATTAAAAATGAGGAAAATAACAGCATAGCATGATGTATAGATATATAAAGGTTAGTTTAGTGCAATAAAATAAATTTCCAAAATTTTGAAATTCCAACATGTTTTGGCCATTATCTCGAAAACAGGATTTGCGACGAGTGACTGGTTTGGCTTATCTTCGCCACATATGCATTTTTTCTGAAAATAGTTTTTTTAGTGAAATTTTGCCGGGAATGGGGTTTTAAGTTATGCACACACCGAGTTGTATAGCATTCGTACTACCATCTGCCGGCGATAGTCGTTACAGTGTGTACTTAGCTTTACACCCTAGTATCACACCAGTTTGCAGCTGGTTGTTAACGACTTCCACTGTCAACAAATAAATAATTATTTGACGTTGTTAACTTGTTTTTACTTTCTTTTCCCCTTTGCCTGCTGTCTCTTTTTCTTTCCTGGTCTGGTCTTCTTTCCACCTTTTTTCCCCTTTGAAAAGATATAAAAGAAAAAATTATAATGTCTGTATAATCTTTATTTATAATTAAGCTTTCCAAGTTTTAGTGTGCATGAGTATGAGGAAGCTCATCACCATTGCATTAAAACTGAGAATTACATGTGACAACAAAGTGTGGGTTACAAATAAGAAACTGTAAATGAAAAACAGAATAGAAATCAGGCATGGCAGATCCACAAGGAATGAACAGGGTGACTAGCTATCCATTACCATCTCAAAAAATATCTTGTACAGTAGACTAAGGCAGCCTTCTATCAGAGGGAGACAGGTTAAAGTTTGATCAGCTTCATGTTTGATGCTATTGTGGACTGTCACTATTGTGTGTCCCCAGGGCCTACTGAAAAACTTATACATTTAAATTTAAAAGAGGACAAGAAAGAAAAAAATATATTTAGATTTATTATATTTATGTTCTTACCTTTTTCATGGCACCACTGTTAAATTTCCTAGGTTTTAAATTGTTATCAACTTGTCTAAAACTATCTTGGGTATTTTGTTTCTGTCCTTTCTTTCGGCCACCAAATCCAAATTTATCATTTTTAAATTGTCGTTTTTGCCCTGGTCTGTAAAAAAAAAAAAAAAAAAAAAAACAGAACTGGTGAAATGGTACAACAACTTGTAGGAAAACAAGAATAATTTTTTACAATGATCCTTAATATCTTTCTAACATTTAATATTTTAACGTATTTATTTCGTGTGTTACTTATATTTTAATATACAGTATTTTAAATTGTACTAAGCAATTTGTGTATTCAAACAAAAAATTTCCATTTTTATTTTTAATGTACATTTACATTTTTTTATGGGCAAGTTAATAAATGAATCATGAAATAAGTCAATGAATCTTGGAAATCTTTAAATTTAGATGTGTATATGTTGCTTTTTTTTAAGCCACAAAATTGTTTTTTGTTTTTTTTATTTATGTAAAACACACTAAAAATACACTATATAGTGAATATTATTCAAAAAATGTATCTGTACAATGCTTGTACAATAAAGATGCAACTTTTGTGTCTCCGTTCAACACAAAAAGAAAAAAAAAACTTACCCTTTAGCTTTAGAAAAACCAGATTTTGTTTTACTATCACCTTCAATTCCAAGAAAATCCAGCTTATCATTCTGCCCTGAGAAATACAAAAAAAATAAAATGAATGCAACAACATAGGAAGTAATCCTTGTTGAAGTCAACATGTTTGGGTTCAGGTAGCGCCAGAGAATGCTGTCTCTGGCGGAAATTTTGATTCACCAACGATAGCATAAGTGGATGGGGACAGGGCGGCCTAGAACCACTCTAAGGAGTTCAGGGGCGAATCCTCAGTTAACTCTGACAATTTAGGGATTTGAAGCCTTATTTAATCGATTCTAAAGTCTCGCATTTCTGTGAGAATTATATAGAATTTTTTTTCCTCCATGACAAACTGTGTTCGGGGTTTCAATCCTTCGCTGTGCATTTCGCTTGTGTCCTTGAGTAAGGCACTTTATCTGCACTACGTCTCTCCACATAGGAGTTTAAATGGGTACTTGGTGGGGTTGACTGCTCCTGCGCTGATTACCAGCAGTAACACTTAAATCATGTGGATCCAATGACCAGGGAAAAGAACTGTGCTTTATAACCTTGAGGCACATTATAAATGCCCATACCAGTACAACCCAACCATAACTTTAGAGACAATTAAAAATATTAAGGTAGTTATACCTTTGCGATACTTCTTAACAGCTTCAATCATCTCCTTCTTTTCTTTCTGTCTTTTCTGTAACACTTCATGTTGAACCTACAAAATGATAATTGAAAATTAATCTAGCATTCAAAAACAAGCTCTAAATTCAATTAGTGAGAGAGTTATTTGGTAGTTCAATTAAATGTCACCAATCCTCATCAAGGTATTGGTCACATGTTACAGGTAACTTACCTTTTTACCATATTTCTTTAAGTCTCTAAGTTTCTTTGCTTTTTCAGATTTTTCTAAACTTGACTTCTTTGAAATTATTTTTTGCTTAATCTGTAAAATAAGCAGAGTTAATTTCAGTTACAGAAATCAGTCACATAACAAATGAAAATAAATTTTTAAAAAGGTTGGTACATTCCCTGGATTGAGAGTTTATTCTTCAAATACCATAGGAGTGTTGGACACACAAATCCCATAATTCAGGTTCACTGCTAGAATATCCCAGGGTGTAGGTTCATTTCCCAAATATTTTCACAGAAATATGGGTTCATTCCACAAAGATTCTAGGAGTCTGAATAAATTCCCTGAATATTGATTCACGGAAGGTGTATAGGTGTGTGGCTATATTCCCTGGAGATTGCAGAGTGTATATTCATTCACACAGGAATGTGAATCCATATGTGAATTCATTCCCTAAATAACATCTCCACACCCTAAGCCTCAAAAAAAGACATAAAGCCTAGCACTATTTCATATCAGCCAACTTTCTAGGATAAGATGGAATAGTCACCCTCTAAGGCAGAGGTGGGAAAAGTGGGGCCTGTGGGCCATGTGTGGCCCGATGGTGATTTTGTTGCAGTCTGTGAAAATAAATTAAAAGCCCAATCTTTGGGGCCTGCCAACCATCTTTGGCTAGAAAAGCCCTGGCTTTTTACAGCCCGACACCCTCAGTGTTAAAACAAACATTTACTTTGATCTTCCAACCAATTTTTATGCCACCCCTGCTCTATGGTGTAAACAAATTAATCTAATGAAAATGTGCGAGTTCAGTGATAGTTCTGACCTTCTGCATGTGGTCATCTGTTTTCACCATTTCTGCAAAATAATCTGACGGTCTTTTTGTTGGTATACCCAGGTTTTGAAGTCTTGGTAAAGCTTTCAGGACAGCAGCCTGTGCTTGGTGATAGCTTTAAAAAAACACACAAGATATCAAAATGAAATATTTTGAATAGACTAAGCTAAACAAGGGGTGTAGATGTAGTTAGGTGGCACTGTGCTTTTTAATACCCAATGCTGGGTTCAGTTCTTGCACTGCACACATATTTGTTTTTATAGTGGTTTGCAGAATTGTGAAATTGCCTCCCCTTATTTGGATAGTGTTTAGAAATATTGTCTTGCAATAATAATTATAAAAATGTTATATGATGTACAGTATGGTTAGTCAAATAGTAACTTTAAAATGCTTTTGGGCAATCCGGCCAGTCAGTCATACTTTTTGATATTGTTTTACTGGCGAAATTAATGATATATGATAAATATTCAGTTGTCAATTGGAAATAAAAGAATTTTGTTCATGAAATTACTGTTTAAAACATGAATACAAAGCAATATATTTGATGAAAATCTGACTCACAATTTTAATTCTCTTTGAAAATCATCATCATAATTGGTCTCATCATGTTGGTCGATGTCTGTAGTAATATCAAGTCTTTCATACCATTCTAACTCCTTTGAGAAATCAGTCAATTTACTTTGCAATCCAGCCTACAAAAAAACCCCCAAAAAACAATAAAGATTCACTGAACATTAATATTATCATACTTACTTATTATAGATATATATCAATATTATATTTATAAAGTAATTGCAGTATATTCCACTGAGTCGGCCACAAAGGTACTCTGATGCAGCAGAAACTATCGGGGCAGACAATAATAATAATAATAATATTTATTCGGCATTCAAGATACTGTATATCATTTGCCTGGAAAGGCAATATGCAATTTGCCTAAACAAATAACTTTGTACTCCTTCCTCTAAATGTCGGGGGGGGAAGGGGGGGGGGGGGGGGGGGGGGGGGGGGGGGGGGGGGGGGCGATTGCGAGACAACACCACCATGGGGGTCCAGGGCATGCCCTGCCAACATTTTTTTTCTAGACATCCGGAAATAATCTCAGAGGTGTTTTGGGCGATCAATAATTTCTACTTCTTTCTTCTTTTTCCCTTTTTTTTTTCATATTTTTAAACTTTCCAAAAGGGAGGGGGTGGAATGGGGCAGACTCGGCCGCCACCTCTAAATCCACCCCTGACTATGCAATCTTTTAACCTTGGATTCAGTTAATACCAGTTACTTGTTTCTATTAATTTTTGTGGTCTTTGTTTAGCTATTTAGTCATGTAGCAGCAGTAGTGGCTGTAACATGTATAGCAACTCACCTCATCATTACAGGATTTCTTTGGAGCATTTGTAGCAAAGTTTAAGCCAGGTTTCAAAGAGCCACCCTTGAAGGCCTCCTGCAGCTGCAAATAATAATATAATAAAATAATAATATAATAATATAATATTATATATATAT